ACATCCACTAACACACACACCCTCACAATTATTCGCACACACATCCACTCACACACACCCTCACGCAGAATCTCACACATTCCCTCACACAGCCTCTCACACACACCTTCATAAACCGCTCACACACCATCCCCAACACACACCCTCACACAAACCCTCACACACATAGTCACACATACAGTCACACCGACTGTGACCCTCTGAGCTGGATTGTGTCCCCAGCTTTAGATGTGTTCACACACAGTCTGAGCTCCAGACGTCCCCTCACTCCACTTTGTGTTGTTTCTCTCTCTCAGCTCCGGCCTCTCTGACTCTGGATCCTGACACAGCCCATCCCGGCTCATCCTGTCTGAGGACCTGACCAGCGTGAGACACGGAGACACACGGCAGCGGCTCCCTGACTCCCCGAAGAGGTTTGATTACTGTGTCTGTGTCCTGGGGTCTGAGGGCTTCACATCGGGAGACATTACTGGGAGGTGCAGGTGGCCAACAAGAGAGAGTGGGATGTGGGATTGGCCCGAGAGTCCGTCAACAGGAAAGGAGAGATCACACTGTCACCAGAGGATGGATTCTGGGCTGTGTATCTGAGAAACGGGGATGAATATGAAGCTCTGACCTCACCTCCCACCCGCCTGACCCTGAGGGACAGACCCGGGAAGGTGGGAGTGTTCCTGGACTATGAGGGGGGAGAGTGACATTTTACAACGCCTGATACCATGTCGCATCTCCACACTTTCACCCAGACTTTCACTGAGAAACTTTATCCTTACTTCAGTCCCGGTTTGAACGACGGCGGCAAAAACTCTGAGCCTCTGAGGATCTGCCGAGTGACAGATTAATGAGCAGGAAACCCTCAGCCATGACCTGTGTTTGGCGGTGATGGACCCCAGGCTGAACCTTTTATAATCTGTGTCCTTATACAATAAAGCTTATAGTTTATGTTACACCTTTCACATTGGGACCGCGGCTCAATCCTTTCTCGGAATCGACTGTGAAGCGCCTGTTGTGTTTGTGAGCGAATAAAGAGCTAATTTGCACAGAGAAAAGTCTAAAGTAAGTCACATGTGACACAATGAACATCAGGCTGGAGCTTTCAGCTCCTGATCTCGACAATAATAATCCACACATTGTACACAGCTCCTCATCACTTCTGCCAGACGTCTCAAAGCCCATCCCAGGCTTTCTAAATCTGCGTTAATCCCAACGATACTCATGGGGTTTATCATTGACTTTCTGTTTAAATAATAAAGCGCTCTCTGTGTACAACACGGGAAACGGTTTTAAAAGCCCCCATATCCGCGGTGTTTCAAGTGCAATAGTTCAATAAACCCCGATATTTGCGTTAATCACAATGATATAAATATGGTTTTGCGTTAACTTTGGGTTTTGATTTTAATCCCACAGCCGAGGACAAACACGGGAAACGGCTGTAAATTCCCCTCAGATCATCGGGGTTTAAAGTGCATCAGTGCAAAATATTCCTAATTCTGCATTAATCCCAAACCGCTTTTTGCATTAACTCTCTCCCTCTCTCTCACACTAACTCTCACTTTCTCTCTCTCTCTCTGTCAATCAGCCGCTGGAGGCTTTGCTACAAACAGGAGACAAATAGGGGCGGGGCCAGGGTTAGGGGCGTGGCCTGAGCTGGGGGCGTGGCCGGAGCTGGGGGCGGGGCCGGAGCTGGGGGCGGGGCTGGGTTCGGTCACGGGGCCAGAGCAGGATTTTGATCTGTTGACCATATTTGGGTTTTAAAGGGAGGCCGTCACTGTCTTAAAGGGGAGACGAGGTTTAATGGGGTTATAGCCCTTTTTATAATAATAATAGTAATCCTTGTATTTGACCCGAGCGTCATCACGTCTTCGGAACGTCTCAAAGCGCTTCACAGTATATACCGTATACTATCTCTGTTACAGGTCCTGTAGTTTAGGGATTAGAGCCCTCGCCTCGCAAGCCAGCGACAGGGGGTCAATCCCCAATTGGGGGCGAAACCTTGTGCAAGTTTCCTCTCTACGCACAGACACACCAAGACACGCGCACACGGGCACACAAAGATACACCACGATACACATACCGTCAGAGACACTCATACACAGATGCACAAACACACAGACACATAGACACAGAGGGACACACAGACATGCACGGACACACACACACACACACATACACAGCCCGGGACGGGCAGAGATCGCATTGTCGACCTGAGTGTCCATCAAACAAGATTGACTTGATTCCCACATTGTTTGCCAAGCACTGAGACCCTGCTCACTCCCGTAACGGAGAAGAAGGGATTGTTTTTACTAAACAGGCGCTTTGAGGCGCCTGTGAGACTCTCACAGCCCAATATCGAATGACAAGTTTATTACTATTATTATTATGTTTCATGGGGAGGTACAAAGCGCAGCACTGCCCTCTGGTGGCAGTGAAGTGGTGCTGCAGGGTTTTCCGAGGGGCAGGAAGAGGAATTCACTCTATAATAATAATAGTAAAAATAATAATAATTCTTGCATTTGATCCAGTGCCTTATCACATCTTCTAGACGTCTCAAAGCGCTTTACAGAATATGCTGTCAAGTGGTTTGACTGTACATATGTGGATGAAACGCGGCAGCCAATTGCGTACAGCAGCGACCCACAAACAGTCATGGATTGAGTGATCAAATTGTCATTTTTTTTTTGATGGATCATTATTTGGCATTTATACACCCAACCACTCCCAATGTCTCTCCTGTATACACACAGCCACTCCCAGTGTCTCTCCTGTATACACACAGCCACTCCCAGTGTCTCTCCTGTATACACACAGCCACTCCCAGTGTCTCTCCTGTATGCACACAGACTCTCTATGGGCCTCTTCTGTATAAACATCCTCTTCCAGTGCCTCCGGTTGTATACACACAACCTCTCCCAGGGTCTCTCCTGTGGACACCCGACCTCTCCCAGTGTTTCTCCTTCATACACAGCCTCTTCCAGTGTTTCCCAATGTATACACCAGCCTCTCCCAGTATTACTCCTGCATAAACGCAGCCACTCCCAGCGTTTCTCCTTTACACACAACGTGATAGAGAAACTTTACACCTTCACACCTACCTCTCCCGCTGTCTCTCGTGTCTACACACAGCCTCTCCCAGTGTTTCTCCTGTACACGTAGCCTCTTCCCGTGTCTTCCACTGTATAAACCAACCTCTTCCACTGACTCCCCTGTATACACACAGCCACTGCCAGTGTCCTGCCTGTACACACACAGCTCTCCCAATCTTTCTCCTGTACAAACAGCCTCTTCCAATATCTCCCACACACACACAGCCTGTCCCGGTATCTCTCCTGTACACACACAGTATAAAAATATAAACAACTCACTATTTCACTAACTGACTATCTCACTCACTAACTCACTCACTCACAGACTCACACGCTTAAAGGAAAGCGAAATAATTCAGCAAAGTCTTTTGCAAACTTAATCAACTGTAAGTTGTGACTAACACATTGAATCAGCCTTAGACAGGTATTACCTGATTTCTATCACATGTGTTGTAGAAAATCTCTTATTTCCAAGGGAAGAAAAGACGGATTTGGAATCAAACAAACTTATTTTGCCAATAATTTAATTTCTATTTGCAGAATAAAAATCTTCATCATTAGAATATGAATCACTGTCAAAAAACTGCATCAAAAAAAATTATATAAAACTGCAGACAGTATTTTGGATTTAAAGCGAGTCCGTGCTCTTCTCAAATGGGAGACGTGGTGTTTTGGGTGATTAAAAAGTCTTTTTGTAATAACAATGATAATAATAATTGTCTTTATCCCAGCGCCTTATCACGACTTTGAGACGTCTCAATGCGCTTCACAGGATAGTGTCGTGACTGAGTTTTTACAGGAATCAATGCAAAGTGTTTTTGTAAAGTGTCTTGTAACTCAGGGTGTTAGACACACAACCACACACAGTCACACACATATACACAGAGAGAGAGAGAGACACGCACACACACACACAAAGGCACAAACATACACACACAGACAGCGATACACACGAGCATCAACGCAGACAGATACAGAGACAGACAGATGACAGACACAGACACAGACACAGGCACACAGACACAGAAACGCAGACACAAACACACACAGGCACAGACAGACACACACAGACAGACACACGCACACACACACACACACACACACAAACACACGCACACACACAGCCCGGGACAGGCAGAGATCACAGTGTCCACCCGAGTGACTATCACTCAGGAATGGTTCCATTCCACATTTGTTGCCGAGCTCCAGATCAGCTCCAGGAAGACACTGGTCACCTCCCCTCGAGGAGGAGAAGGGAGTTGACTAAACAAGCGCTTTGAGGCGTCTGCAAGACGTGAACAGCGCAATATCAAATGCCGAATTATTATAAATAGTATAATTACACAGAATATAATGAGCAGTTACACAGTGCAACACCACCGACTGGTGGCAATACTGCGGAACCGCAGGTTTTTATTTGTAATTTGAACCCAGACTGAATCACAGCAAATGATTACTTGCCTCAAATCCACGAGGAGAGAAGGAGAAGCAGTGAATTGCTGTCTGTGTCTGACCGCTCTTTAGCAGTAAATGCTGATAACCAGAACCAGGGACTGGGCAACACAATTAATGTCGTGGGATTCAGTGCGAAACAGTTCATTGGCATAAACACATGAAAAGGAATGAAAATGGATTCGTCAATTATGAGCCAAAACTGAGGAGAATCGCCGAGTCCTGATCCTCCGTGAAGGAGGAGAAATAAATGCAGTTTATTGTTTGTTGTTGAGAAACTGCGAAGTAACTCGGAATCTCTGTCTGTCCGTCGGCCTTCGACATCCTCCCGACATGAAAGGCCTTTACACAAGGACATGTTGTTTCTCCCTCTCTCTCTAACACTCTCTCTCACAATATTACACTCTGTCTCTGTCTCTCACATTCTTTATCTCACTCTCTCTCTAAGTGTCTCATATACACACACATTCTCTCTCTCACTCTCTCCATTGTAGACAGGCAGAGTGCATATGGGAGACAGACAGTGAAGGAATGAGTGACTCTGTGTGTTCATGGACCTCACGTTTCAGGAGGTTGTCATCCCACAGCCATAGAGGATTCAGAGAGAGTATCTGTGCATGTGGTAGGAAGAGGGGACGGTCAGTGCAGAATTCACATGAATGTGTGGCATTAACACATTTGTCCCGTCAGGGTGATGACAACTCTGTGGAGAGGAGCCAATGGCAAATGGATGCTCTGTGGGACACAGAGAAGAGTTTCAATGAAACTGTTATTTGGGACAATCCCGTCAAAGGTATAGAAAGATGTTTCTCCCGTGGTCACAGAAGATGCGGATGCAGCCAACGCAACAGTATCGGATACGCGGGCAGAGAAATTGTGTAGCTCAAGAATAAAACGAGAGAAATTTCGACAAATCAATCGGTGCTCAGGCTAGATAAGACACCCGGATCGCACGGGGTGAATGCTAGTTTACTAAAGGAAATAAGTGGTGCAATCCGGGACAAAATACATCTCCACAAAGAAAATTATGGTTTAATTTAGAAGAGCCAATACAATCCAAAAAACTGGATAAAGTTTTTTTATGAATTAACGAAGAGGGTGGAATAAGGTTCTACAGTTGGTGTTGTTATGCATTTTAAAAACGCATATTAGATAGTATCATA